TTGAAAATGGCAAAGCCGATAGGTTAGCATCTTTCGACTTATATTTTGTATGTAAATTCTTCTCCTCTGGTTTGGATCTCTAAACCGTCTTAATATAATTGTTGTTGACAAACAAAAAAACAGAAACTAGTTAGAACGTGGACGAAAAAATATTTAAAATGTAATCGTTTATAACCGTTTTGAATTGTTGTCGGAAATATGATCAAATTATTTTTGAAATGTCATATTCGATTTGTCAATTTATGTCACTTATCTCATTTGTAAAAAAAAAAGGAAAAAACATCATACACCCGAAATGCATTCACATGATAATAAATTTCGAGTAATCAATAATCGGTGGAATTCAAGTAATAGGCAACTTACAAGAGAATCCGTAAATAAAAATCATCCAAAAGATTGAAAATAAAGAGAGTACTTATTTGGTTATCTATTGACAATTTCAGTCTTTTTTTTTTGTTAATTGATTACAAGAGCATATAATCAGGTCACTGAAACTACATTGCTAATGATTATTTCTCACGTCTGAGAGTGAACTTCGAGACGACTCGTAGGATTTCGCACTTCGCATATAATAGAATGAAAACCAACAATGGTTAGGATTAAACTTCAAAGATAAATAAGTCAGAAACATTCACAAGCAATTCAAATCTAGTAAAAAGCAAGGAAGTTCCAACATCTACCAAACAACGAGAGGTTGGTTTAAACATACAAACCAGCCACCGGTTCATCGCTAGAGTTGAGAGTGGTAGTTGCCTAGCTTAAGCTGCTTTAGCTGTTTCACGAACAATGGCTAACTTAGCCAGAAGACCACATAGCTGAAGATATGATCCAACTCCATCACAGATTCTCATATGCGCAAATCCAGTTTCCTGAAGAACAGAATTGGCGTAAGAACGAATATGCAGGGTAGAATGTTTTGAGATGTTAAGAAGAATCAGATGTATACCTTCATGAACTCAAGTTTCAGATACTCAGCCATATCATAATTCTTTATAATACGGAAAAGGGTTGTGATAATGTCCGTTGGAGAGTAGCCAAGATCATAGAGCTGCTTTAAGCCGTGACAAGCATCGTCGAACTTACTTTCCAACACATTGCGAACTATGTTCTTGACATGAAGCGGGTGAGGTTGGTCACAGACCTG